TATTGCATTAATATTATTATTATAAAAAGGAAGAAAACAAATTTCCTCCTTCTTTCTCAAGGACTTAAATGCATCGCACACTTTGTCGCGAAGGTGGAAAGGCACGAAAAATTGTCGGCGGCTTTCACGAAATTGGAGCGCGCGGAAGATGAACCGCTTCTTCGCGCCGGGCATAATTCCCGTGTAATTCACTCACAGCCGCGAGGGAATATTTACAAATGGCATTTAAATCCGGGAGACGATCGCTCGCGATAACCGCGGAATATCGTTTGTCGGCAACCATCGCGAGCGGAAGCGACAGCGGGAGCGGGGACGGACGGGGACGCTTAAAGTGTAAATAGGAGGCGACTCGCGCCAGACAAAGCGTTTTCTTGACCCCTCTCCTCTCTATATTCCGCCTCCTCCTCATAGCTATAAAAGGAAAGGACACAGCCCTTTCACGGTTACTACGAGTCTGAGAGTCGAATCGAGAGTCGGCGGAAGTGAAATCCTGAAATATTAATGCGACACCCAACCTTCGTCGTACGGCGATCCTTACCTCCGGCTTCTGCCTAGTTCTCCTTGTCCGTGTTCTTTCTCCTTCTCCGAGATCGTATAAGTCCGACGTTTGAGTTTTTTTTTCTCCTCACGTCCGCCCTTGTGCCACCTTGTTGAATCATATACCACCCGCGTCGGCACGTTGGCCTGGTACGATTTGGAAAAACAGAATGTATATATATATATATATATATATATATATATATATATATATATATATATATATATACACGGTGTTAAAAAAGTCTGGACACGGTCGAATATCTCGATAAGGAAGAGTTTTACTAGAAAGTGTTTCAGACAAAATTTGTATGGCTTCGACGGGGACATAAGATGGTGCCATTAATTTGACCTTGAAGAGTCACCTGAAAGCCACGTGAAGATCTCCTCCAACTTTTTAAATAGGACACCCTATATACTTTTGTATATTTTTATAGCTTGCCTCAAGAGCTTTCCAAAACACTATAATAAAGTATTTTTTCATTGAGTACTTTTCGAGTTATGAGGCTTGAAATATAATTTTTCAATTTTACATAAACCGTAAAATATCTTGTAAAATATTCATCTTTCGATTATCTTACCTTAATACATTTATGCACAAAATAATGTGAGAAATCTATTGGTGTAAAGAAAAAACACAGTTATTTTTGAGAAAAAGTATGTAATTGTTAATTTCAAATTACATATTTCTTCTCCGAAACAATTATGTGTTTTCTTTACACCAATCGATTCCTCTCATTATTTTGTGCATATATGTATTAAGGTAAGATATGTATTAAGGTAAGATAATCGAAAGATGAATATTTTACAAGATATTTTACGGTTTCCTCTTCCTTATCGAGATATTCGACCGTGTCCAGACTTTTTTAACACCGTGTATATACACACTCATACGTACTTTTACGTGCGAAGATTTTTCCTGTGAATATTAGTTTGCTTGATCGAGTAGAAACAGCTTTAATGTAACATTGTCGAAATTGATACATGAATGTGTGCACTGTATTGATGTAAAAATGTGCTTTTTACAGGAGCATGTTATTTTTGTAAATTTTTTTGTTTACAATTTTTTTGTCCTAAAAGTGAGTATAGGAATAAACATGAATTTTATTTTATCCAAATGAGAAAGATGCGATAGCGCTGGTAAAGAAAACAAATTTAATATTTAGTTGTTATTATATTTGAAAAGCGGAGAAACATTTCGCTCGCGCATATATTAACAACTTTCCACACAATCCTAGATAACGTAGATTTTTCGTTTAGACGTATTATATGTGTTCCCGACTTTTCGAAAAGTTATATCAGTTTAACCAGTGATTCAATTTAATCAGACAATATATATATTGTTGGTTATTATTTGCAGTATATCACAAAATTCCGTGCTTTTGTCAGCCTTCATTAACAAATAACTGAATAATTAATCTAATCTGTAAAATATGTTTTCAACGAAAATTGATTTTATGTGACAGTTGTATTGTGAAAATTTACATTTATTTATTAATTCACGAAGAGAAGGAATTTATTACAACACATTTTGTACAAATCTGTTTAAGCACACATAATTGAATTTCGACATTGCACCGAAATATGCTCGAAAAAATGTATATATTGCTTAATTGTTCTCATTTTTCTACACGATTTCGTTGAAAAAAATTGGCGAAATAATTCATCATATATTTGAAAAATCACTTTGCAAATTTACTGTACTCTACGCATCCCTCGATTGTACAATACATCGCCCTGTCAACATATCGCGCATGATTGACCGCGATAATGAATATTTCCGCACTTTATAAATGATGCAAGATACAATTAATTACGTGCCGCATAATTAACTGTGACAATGTGACTGATCTTTCTGTATGGCAAACGACATATCTGCAAAATACACATGTTTACGTATATCGCGTTATTGCGTTTGTTTCCTATACCAGGTCCTAACGGTGTTGATATTGCTTTCTTTCAGGAGGGTGAGAGGGGATACTTGGAGGGACTCGCTTCGAGGTACGCGGATCTCTTCAGAACACATTACGGAGATGTTTTGGAACCGCTCGAGGAGTTACGCCGGCGAGAAACAAACGCTTCTGCCAGAATGCCCAACACTCAGCTCACCACCAGTCATTCACAGCCCATTTACGTGCCCGGGAAGTACTCGGTAAGCAAAATTCCTCATATTCGCTTTTATTTGCCACCCTTCCCACCCCGTCAATTCCCTTTTTATTGCTTCCGCGGGCAGCATAATGCGGTTAAAGGATGACATACAGTGTGTAGTGGCTTGTCTATCGCCACACGATTTCTTCTTATTACTCTATTCCCCTGACACTTCGCCAAATTGCTTTCGAAGGGACAGAATTCGCGAGAGGAACACGTCCAGTTGATTCGATACAAGCACTTGTGCCTCTTTCTGATGGATAGATGCAATTTTGTTACGAGGAAAATTGTCAGACGTAGACAATCGCTTGTCGATGAAATACGAACGTATTTATTACGCTAAAGTGACGTGTTAACAGTTTTTGCAAAAGAATATTAACATTGAATATTTAAATTAAAACAATAATTAATTTAATTGATGGCAAGCAATTGATAATTGAAAGATTATATGAATTGCAATATTAAGTTTAGAAAACATTTTAAGGATGTTTTGTATGTACAATCCCAGCAAAAAGTAGCTGAAAATCAATAATGATGAATATCCACTTTTGATGTACTCGTATTTTGAGTAAGAAATTATGTGGAACATTATAATTTGATCTTAGCTACAGCACAGAGATGTATTTTTAATATTTATTGCGTTTTACTGAAATATTCCGAATTTTGTTAATCGAAATGACTAACTTTTGGCAGAGAATTTGCCTTGTGACAGATACATGGCTAACTTCATTGAATGATATTTAATATCTTTTTAACCAATTAGTACTTGTATAATATTATTTGACCAAATATTTCCTCTGTATCTAAACTTTTGCAATTTTTAACAAATTCTGAATATTATTTCCATGTGTTTTTGTCATTTGAATCGACATGGTTATACGTTTCCCATAAGAACACATGTTAATTTGGTGCAAATTAAAATCCTTATAACTTGTGAATAACGCTTTAGTGAATCGATTTAAAAATTGTACTGAAGATTCTAAACATATGTAAGGACATTCTGTACAATTTTCATTCTCAATATTTTGAAAATAGATACAAAATATCGTTACATATTTTTCTGCAAGAAACATCTTTTTATATATTGAGTGCTCAATAAAAGAGAGATTTAGCGAAGAATGATTTAGAAGTTCAAACACTTTACATTTGTGGGATCGTGGCTCCTTCATAAGTAACTTCCTAAAGTGCTTTAAGGCGATTAACCATGTAGACTCTATCGATCCCAGCTTAAATCGGTTATTGTTCGTTACTCCAGACTTTCTTCGCGTCTAATCGAGTTTTCAAGCGCAAGCAATCGATTGACGATTAAGGTCATGCTTCTTCGAAGATCGATAGCGTGTCAATTTGAAAAATTAATAAAACTTACTCGCTTTCTGAAATATCACGTCTGAATTAAACGTGAAAACGATTGTTAAATCAATTAGCTGATCGTATATCGTTTAAGTTTCTACATCTCTCGATATATTCTTACAGTTTGCAAATTATTAAAGTTTTACATGATCAAAAATGTAACGTAAAAACAATTTCGTAAATATTTAATTACATGATATAAAAATTAATGTTAAATTAACAATATTGAAAAAAATATTTTGATTACAAAAATAAATCACTTTTTTAAAGCGTATGATTACAATTATCAAGACACTCTTAGAAAATTTACTATCAATAAAATTTTTTATCAGGTTTTGCGCCGATTTTGTTTTATTAAAATTTGATTTAAATTAACTTTTTTACAATTTTGGATTTTTAAAAAAAGATTTTAACGCAGCGCTTTTTAAATCAAAGGTACTTTTACTACTAATATAAATTTTACGTAAATTAAATAAAGGATAAATATTCCTTATATTATATATATTTCTCGAAACTTATATGAAGACACTATAATACTACAAAAATATAATACATACACACAAAATAATAATTAATAATCTATAACGAAATCGAAATTTCATACGGATTTATCATTACGTATAAAAAAAATTCTATATAATTGGAAGATTTTTTTCTGGGAGGATGGTTGGGATTTATTTATCATCTCAAAAGATACGATTAGACTGACCCCCAGGTCTACGATCTCTTTTCTCACAAAATTTCGCGGCACAACAATGTTGCCTTCGCTGTAACGAGTTCTTAATACTACCCCCGAGGCTTTTCCTACTTACGACGTAAGTGGTGGTAGTCCCGTACTGCTTCGCAAGCAAAACCCGCCGCTCTGTATAAGATAGTGGAAAAGAGCGAACGTTCTCCATTTTTGTGCAGCCCTCGAGCTGCCTCAGCGACAAGGAGGAGGATGAAATCTATGGCTTCGGATACGGTGTCTTCAGCAGACAGATGCTTCAGCATCGACAGCAGAAGCTCGCACTCGCCACACAAAACACGACTAGTGCCGTGACATCAGGTGGACCTCAGCCAACCTACCAAAGGTAAGAGGAAATACATGTTGATATCTGTATATGATATTGCGATAGTTTGTCCGCAAATATGATCTGGCTCAAATAGATAGTAAAAAACATTTTTAAAACTAAGAAAATGAAACATAAATAAAATAAAATATAGACGTATAAAGAAAATTGTTACTATTTCTCTTTCTCTCTTTCTCGTTCCTTCTTTCTCTTTCTTTGCGTGAATGCATGTATGTATAAGAGAGAGGAGGGAGGATTAAGTTGAGCAAATATTTGATTATATAATTGATTAAATTGAGAAAATTAATAATGGAATTATAAAGAATAATACAGTGATTAGGCATAATAATAATTTAGCGATCAGAAAAATTAGTAGAATAAGTCGAAACTAATCAGACAGAGGTTGCATCTTGAAATTTTTTCTAAAATTTCAAAATTTAATATTTCTATTTATTTTTCCAAGTTTATAATACACATATAAATTAAATTATTAATAAAATAAAAAATAGTAGCTATTACTATGTTATATTCGAACACTATTTATTGTACAAGAGAAGATTAACGCCGCAAAATCCATTACTTGTTCGAATCGCGTCAGTGATGCCCGACATCGAATATATTTATCGAACATTGCACATCCGAGAAAACAGGAGGATTTTCGCATATGACGATTCGATTTGGATAGTCAGATAATGCGCGGGAATAATGAAGGATTAATGCTAATGGTTGATCCAGTTAATCCTAAAATTTTGACGTGTCGATTAATTAATCCTCCCTTGAAACAAATAAAAACCGTTTTATCGTAAATCATACAGAATATCGAATTCCGTGTTTATGAAGCGCGGACGTTCTTATCGAACGCTTAATATTCAATTTGTATGAAAAGGGGGATATGACACGTTGTTTTAATCGGACAGCACGGATATCAAATTCAAATTAGATTTAATCTCACCAATTAGAAGCGATCTATCAACGTGAAATAAATATTTTGTTCCCGCTTTTCTTCAAATTTTGAACTTTTATCATTTGCAAAATTATATTATATTCTATAATATTCTAATTTCTTTCTTGTATAATATTCTAATTACGGAATTTGCAAGTTTTTAATTTTTTTTACATCAATTTCCGCCGCTATTAACTCCCTGTTTATATAGCAGCAGAGAGAAAGGAGATTTAAAGAAAAGACATCAGAATTTCAAACACGTTGGAGAGACCTTTGTATTTAATGGTCCCATTTTTACGCACCTCTGCACAGTACAAACGCTACTCGGCTTTCCGGACCGTTCGCATAACACGATGCCGTTCGCTGCCGCAGTCGCACAGTCTGTTTATTATCCGTAATTGCCCATTGCTAACTGCTCTAACTGATCCGAAATACCATCTGCGTGCAGTCTCGCGCCGGCTGCTTGATATTTAATGGCTAATTAACCGACGAACCGAGGCAGTGAGCACGTTTGGCCCGGCATTCTCGTGTACTTGCTCGACGCCGCATCGTTGCTAGCAGGAGAAACCGAAAGACGAAAAGGGAGCGAGAAAGGCACCAAGATAGGAGAGAGAAAGAGGGAGAGGGCATATCGCATTATTAAATTCCATTATCGCGCCATGGGCATCGACTGTTTTCGTGTATGCGCGAATAAGCTCATGAAACTACTCTCTCGCCCTTCTCGTTGCTACGATGAGCATGCTTTGCGAATGAGTACGCTTTCACACAGACCATATTCGCGTTCTTGGTACTGTGACTCGGCTTCGTAACGACGCAGAATTTGAATCGAATGCATCGGATCCTTTTCCAAAAGAAATTTCAGAAATTTCTTCTGCAATTGCTATAATTGTAGCTTTTGTTATTGTAAATTAAAACGATTTCAGCAAATTTTTTATCCATATTTTTAATTATAATTCGATGAAAGAGAAATTTTTATTTTTCGTACCGATTCAAAATTTTGAGATGCATGTAACTGTAGAATATTATAAAATAGAATATTATAATTGAAAAGACAAATTTTTTATCCGTATTTTTAATTATAATTCAATGAAAGCGAAATGTTTATTTTTCGTACCGATTCAAAATTTTGAGATGCATGTAACTATAGAATATTATAAAATAGAATATTATAATTAAATAGAATATTATAATTAAAAAGACACATTTTTATCCGTATTTTTCATTATAATTCAATGAAAGCGAAATGTTTATTTTTCGTACCGATTCAAAATTTTGAGATGCATGTAACTATAGAATATTGTAAAATAGAATATTATAATTAAAAAGACAATTTTTTATCCGTATTTTTAATTATAATTCAATGAAAGAGAAATTTATATAGTTTATTTTTCGTACCGATTCAAAATTTTGAAGTGCATGTAACTATAGAATATTATATGGATATATTGACAAGCTGGTAAAATTATTGCTCAATCTAATAATGGCACTAATTTGCGGCGACCATAAAATTAATTGTTTGGAAATAACGATCAATCGAACGAAGCTTTTCATGGATTTAATTGGCGTCCTGTAAATAACGAGAATCGAAAATAGTGCTCTTCTATTGCTCTCTTAAATAGGAAGATTGGAAAATACAATGTACAAAATAAAAAATGATAGCAATGATGATGATATAGCTGTAAAAGTGAGTCAATAGTCATCCAATCGAAATATTGAAAATTAATGAGAATAAGGAAATTTAAAAATTAATATGATTATGTTTTCATTTTAATCGATGTAATCGTTTATTATCATTAATCTTAATTGTATTCAATTATATATTCTATTTTTTATTACTATTATTATTATATATATTACTAATTGTTCTTATCACAAAACACTTTATAACCAAGGCATGAGAATAGGACGAAAATAATAATAATAATTTTGCCAGTGATGAGCGAACGAATTAACATCGGTACACGAATCCAATATCGTATCTTTATTGCGTATCGTTGGGGAAACTTATTTTCTTGCAAAAATATCTATGTTCCGAAGGACATTAGGCGGGGATTTTTAATGGGCTCATAAATATCATCGCAACGCTCGGCACGTTAATGCAACGAGCCGAGAGAACGCGGTCTCCGTTGCCCACATACGCCAAAATAATTACTGACTCCGCGGTAATTTATCGCGGTACTATAAAGCATGTACTGCCGTGGTATCGTTACATGGCAGATTGCGCGAAAAACATTGAAAAATAGTCGATGAGGTACATCTTTCGCCTTTATCTTCCACCTAACAATCTGAATCGTGATGGAAACAATTTCTAATAAATTCACTGCAATGGATAACAATTCTTCTACTGCACTGAGAAAAAAATCTGGTTGCATTAATTAGAATTCTGGTAGATTCAACCAGTATGTCTGTTGGAAAATGGACGAACCAGAATTCTTGTAGGAATTACCAGATGAATCTGATTAATTTCTTTCTGTTAAATTTACTAAATTTAATAATAAGATAATAATAAATTGAATAATAGATTCACTGCAATGGATAACAATTCTTCTACTGCACTGAGAAAAAAATCTGGTTGCATTAATTAGAATTCTGGTAGATTCAACCAGTATGTCTGTTGGAAAATGGACGAACCAGAATTTTTGTAGGAATTACCAGATGAATCTGATTAATTTTTTCCTGATAAATTTACTAAATTTAATAATAAAATAATAATAAATTGAATAATAGATTCACTGCAATGGATAACAATTCTTCTACTGCACTGAGAAAAAAATCTGATTGCATTAATTAGAATTCTGGTAGATTCAACCAGTATGTCTGTTAAAAAATGAACGAACCAGAATTCTTGTAGGAATTACCAGATGAATCTGATTAATTTTTTCCTGATAAATTTACTAAATTTAATAATAAGATAATAATAAATTGAATAATAGATTCACTGCAATTGATAACAATTCTTCTACTGCACTGAGAAAAAATCTGGTTGCATTAATTAGAATTCTGGTAGATTCAACCAGTATGTCTGTTAAAAAATGAACGAACCAGAATTCTTGTAGGAATTACCAGATGAATCTGATTAATTTCTTCCTGTTAAATTTTACCAAATTTTCTGGTTAATAATACTAAACTCGCCAGCATCAAGTTGTCTAAAATTTTTTCCATCTAATCTCAAAAGTCTGTTTAATATTTTGAATTCCAACAAGATTATTGAATAAATTCAATCCAGATTATTGAATAAATTATTTTAAATTTAGTTTGTTAGAAAGTAAACTGATAAACAGTGATGCGAGAAGAGGATGCAGCTAAAACGCACACAATCAGAGAGCTAGCGTCCTCTTTCTGGCACTACTGCTCGTAGGACAAAAAAAATATACTTTGGATTTAATGTTAATACTAGTTCTTTATATACATTTCATGGCAAATATTGAATACGAGTTAAGTTAAGAGAGTAAGCAAAGAAATTAATGTAACAAGAAATTTTATAGATTCAATCAGAAAGTATTAACCAAATCCTTATAGTAAAATCTATTAAACGTTCTAGTTATAAAAAATCGAGTCTTATGATAACTAGAAATTCTTGTTTGATTTAACCAAAATGCCTTCAATCATATACGTCTTGTTGGTACAATCAAACGATTTTTCTCAGTGTAGAATCAGAATTTCACGAACCTCTATTTCATCTACTTTCGCGTCGATAAACAAATTTTTGTTTAAATAAACACATTACGAGAATTTTAAATATTTCAAATATGAAGATGTAAAAATATTCTCTCAATATTATAAATGATGGAATAAATGCAGTATAAGGTAAATGGCTATAACGATGTTCAAATCGTTTTAAATCGGGAAATATACGCGAGATTGTTTAATTTATTTAATTTTAAGGTTTGTCGAAATTATATCCGCTGACGAAGTTATAGCCATTTACCTTATACTCTTGATATTCCAAAAAGATGATATAAGAAGATGAATAAAGGAGTGAAACAATTTATAAAGTTTCTCATATTTTTCTCACTGGCGTGACTAGGTTTTCTTCCATTGTTTCGCAATAATAAATATCTCCTCTGTGGGATCTTTC